ATATATATATATATATATATATAATCTTGCTTTATGAATGTATTCATACTTTTTTCTTTTTCTTTCTTGTTATTGTTAATGTGTTTATTTGAATTATACCTGTAGCTTTTATGATTTTTATTGTGATTTTGTTTATTACTTAAGCTTCGTTTCTTCTTCTTTACAGTAGCATAGGGTGCATAGTGGTGGGGGACTGATTGTGGCTGACATTTATGGGCTCTTGTGATAAGATGGACATCATGTTGAATGACGTAGCTACTTTGAGATAAGAGGATTAAATTAGGATATTTTAGATTTTTTTGATTTTTCACTCCTTTCTTTGTGTGTGAATACAGTTGAAGCAGATGATAATGTTTCTAATTAAGTATAAATAAATTTTAATGTAGAATGTTTTGAAAAGAAGATCCTTCTTTTGACAAGACAAAAACACTGAGATAGATGAATGGATTATGTGCTTTTCCAGTTAAAGCTTTAGTCCAGCAAATATCAAAACAAAGGCTGAGTTCTACAATACTTCATCTTGAGTGAAATAATCCATTTTGGTCTGAATATGCAATATACCATTTGGTTACGGAGGTCTTTCCTCCTCTTTGCTTCTCTTCTCTTCCCTTCTTCCTCCTCATCCTACTCCCTCCTCCTTGTCTGCTCCTTTGCCTCCTCCTGAGTGGGAGAGGGGGTGAGAGAGAGAGAGGGGGGGGAGAGAGAGAGAGAGAGAAGGGGAGAGAGAGAGAGAGAGAAGGGGAGAGAGAGAGAGAGAGAGAGAGAAGGGGAGAGAGAGAGAGAGAGANTAGACCAAGTTGTCTTGCTTTTGAATTGTCAAAAAGCAAGCTAGACCAAGTTGTCTTGCTTTTGAATTATCAAAAAGCAAGCTAGACCAAGTTGTCTTGCTTTGGCTTGGTCAGAAAGTAAGCTAGACAAGGTTGTCTTGTGTTGGCTTGATCCAAAGCAAGCTGGACCATATATCTTGCATTGTGTTGGTCTAAAACAACCTCATTCAAGATATTTTGGTGTGGATTGGTCAGAAGCAACCTTGAGCAAGATAGCTTGTTTTTAGAGATCCTTAAAAGCAAGTTTGACCAAGCTATCTTGGTCAAACTTGCTGTTAAGGATCTCTAAAAACAAGCTATCTTGGTCAAACTTGCTTTTGAGATCTATAAAAACAAGCTATCTTGGTCAAACCTGCTTTTAGGATCTCTAAAAACAAGCTATCTTGGTCAAACTTGCTTTTAGGATCTCTAAAAACAAGCTATCTTGGTCAAACTTGCTTTTAGGATCTCTAAAAACAAGCTATCTTGGTCAAACTTGCTTTTAAGGATCTCTAAAAACAAGCTATCTTGGTCAAACTTGCTTTAAAGATTTCTAAAAACAAGCTATCTTGGTCAAACTTGCTTTTAAGGATCTCTAAAAACAAGTTTGACGAAGATTGCTTGCTTTTAGGATCTCTAAAAATAAGCTATCT